GTCTTTTCATCTAAATAGTCAGAGATGAGGGGTTTTGATGATATGAATAAGAAGAGGCTGGGCCTACGTCCGTCACTGTTCTATCCATTCTATAGTAAAGTACATGGAATTGAAGTTTGTACCCACCTTATCCTTTCTTTCCCTCCTTCCCTCCCTCCCTTCCCACTTTTCAGCCTTCAAAGTCACAGGTGTGCACCCCAGCCCAGGTCCCTTTCTTACCTTTCCTCTTATTTGTAAAAACTCCACAGTTAACTTCGGGGTGGAGAACATTGTAATTGTGACTTTAATTTCATCTGGGGAAAGATTATAGGCTTTATAATTTAGGAAACAATTTTGAAATTTAATGTTGCCCATTTCTCAGTCCCTTATCTGAGATTTTACCAAGAACAGCAATAACCAGGACAGATTATTCTTCCTATGTGGGAAATCTAATTTCTGTAGTGAAATGGTTTTTAAAATGAAATGATTCTTAAATTACTTGTCTAAAGATAGAAAATTCCGAGGTAGAGGGCAGCAACACTGTGGTGTTTGGTTCTCATTTATATGCATACACAAGTCTTTAAACCTGGAACAGATATGTTTATGCCTTTGACACTGCATAACAATAAAAGTAGTAGACTAATTGCTCCAGGCGAGCATCTGGGGGTGTGATGGCCCTTTGAATAAGTGACATTGCCACACTAGAGTGTGACAGACAGGCCTGCGGATGCACTTGATCTCTTGGTCACCATTCAGTCGAGTGAGACTTTTAAACACCTCAGCCATAGTGAACCATTGAGACCCTCTTCCTAGAATTTCCGGTTGGGGCTGTTTTAAACTTTTACTTACTGGTCTTTCCTTTCCTTTTCTTTCTTTTTTCTCTTTCTTTCTTTCTTTCTTTCTTTCTTTCTTTCTTTCTTTCTTTCTTTCTTTCTTTCTTTCTTTCTTTCTTTCTTCTCTCTCTCTCTCTCTCTCTCTTTCTTTTCTCTCTCTCTCTCTCTCTCTCTCTAATATTGCAGCTTCGGTTAGAAACTTTGGTGGGATTAGAAATGTAATTACTTGGATATTAAAGGTTGCTTTAGAAATTTGACTGTCATTAGGAAGAAGGTCTTAAAGACTGGAATTCCATTGTCTTACAAGAAGTAAGAAATATTTATTGATTCCCAAATGGGGCTGAAGAAACTTCTCCTCTTTAGAAGGCTGTGAATGACTCAGCGAGAGCTCTGGTGAGCTTGACTGAACCAAGCTGCTAATAGTTATTTAATGTTATTCGTCAGTGGGAAAGAATCGCTGTAGATTTTCCTTTTAATCTCTTTGAATTGCAGGCTCATAAACCTCTCTGACGAGCCCGGCCAGTGTTGTCTTAGATCCCACTGCTGAGACAATGGAGCCCCAGAATTCTTTCACCTCTTGTTGTAAGACAAACCCAATAGAATGCAAGGTCAGAAGGGCCTATACTTCTAAAGATTGAAAGATTCTTTTTCAAGGAAGCACATAAATTATTTGATTTTATCATTATATTCCTTAGGAGCCTCACTCTAACTATAATGCCTGCTTTGGATACATAAAAGTAAAATTGGAAGGTGGGGGGTTGAGGATTGTCTTGTCTCATTTGGCTAAGCTTGTCAGTATGACCCAGAGTGTGAACTGACCTTAATATTCCTAGATATTCAAAAGAGTTGAACCCATTTTCTAATAAGAATCAGATTTCGTAGTCACTGCACTCAGGATAGCGTGAGCACACCAAAGCCAGCAATGTGCTCTTTACAAATGGCTGTGCGTGGCTTTGTCCTTTTCGGGTTTTGTTTGTTTCCTGTTTTTGTTATTATGTTTTATTTGTTTTTCAAATAGTTATTACCATTATGTAGGGGGAAAAGATTCAATTTTAAAATCTTGGATTTTAAAGTCAGTTTCTTTTCTCAATGTTAGTAGTGTCATATTTCCACAGGAGATCTTTGAGGTGGGATTTTCATTTCTAGATCTGCCTATTAAAATATCATTGCAACAAACAAAAGTGTGTGTGTGTGTGTGTGAGAGAGAGAGAGAGAGAGAGAGAGAGAGAGAGAGAGAGAGAGAGAGAGAAAGAGAGAGAGACTGCAAATGAAAACAAACGTATCTGTTTTGAAGATGCCATGCCCTGATTACTACAGAAGTATCCAACCTGCTTTGCTTTCATGGCTCCTGTAAGTGACTTTAGTAGATAGGGAAGAATTAAGATTTTCAATTATAACCACAGTGGTGGACAAGCAAAGATCATTGTTTAAAAAGAAAGAAAGAAAATCACACTGATTTGTTTGTCCTCCTTCCTTATAATTGTAGTGGGGGTTGGGGTGGTCGGGTGGAATTTGCTGTTGCCCTATCCTTGGACACCTGCCTCTCAACAAAGGACTGTGGTCACCCCCCACTGCCCACATTTAGATTCACCTTTTACTTTTCCTGTACTGGGCCTGCTCATTATGCAGTTCTCCAGGGATCCAATTTTCCCTGAGTTAATCACCCCAGCCTTTTCAGAAGTTGTTAGATTATTGTCTTTTCAAAGGACAATAACTTTTCTTTAAAAGAAAAAAACAAACAAAAACCTTTTTATTTCTAGTTTTAAAAATGGAACCACTAGAATCTCAAACACACTGCCTTTAAAACTTTTGTTGAAGTTTATCGCATATGTACAGAGAGGTGCAGAAATCTGCATGTCACTTGAAAGATTTCTCACCATATGCACACCCGAGACTTCTAGGCAGCACACCTTGCCCCTCGACAGCATAGGAAAGTTTTCCTGGTATGTTTCATACTCGTTTATGTCAGATACTGATTTTTAAAGCTACTTACAGGTTTTTGTGCACACAGTATTGAATAATCAACATCTCCATGTTTCCATAGCCACGGAACTCCAATCTATTCCTTTCAACTCTGATCTTTGGCAAAGAATTGACCATTTTTCTGTTCTCTTTTCCCTTTCACCATGAGATGGGATATGCTCAATCTTTTAACCAAGAATAGGTGTTACCCTGTGCCTAGGGCTAAAGAGGAAGAGAAACAATGAAATGTGGGAACAATGATAGTGTGGCACACAAAATAGTAACTGGATCAGAATAACAGCTGCTTCCCAGTAGAAAAGCAGAACAATAGGAAGCTGACTTGATTGGCAGTTACATTCGCAAGGTATTTCTCATTTATTATTTATTTTTAAATACAGTGGCACAATGGGTATTTATAAATGTTTATTCTTTTAACATAGTCTATTCTGGGTATCCAAGGTAGGTCAGGCTGAGAAAGCTAATTCCCTCAGTCTGCTTTGCTTCAGTTGGGTGCACAGAATAGAGAAATACAAGATACCCTAGTAACTTGGTTGCAAATTAATGATACCTGTTTGTTCTCCAAATAGGTCTTTTCACTGTGAGGTATCCCCATTCTTCAAATATTAATTTCTTAATTCTACCAAAGTTGACCCTTCTGAATAAAAGATCAAAATATAAGAATTTTTTCTGTCCTTGAAACTTTCAAATTGAATTATATATATATATATATGGAAGAACCAGGTGTGGAGACATATACTTTTAATTCCAGCACTCGGGAGCAGAGACAGGTGGATCTCTGTGAGATCGAGGCCAGCCTGACCTACATAGTGAGTTCCAAGAGAGCCAGGGCTATGTAGAGAGACCCTGTCTCAAAGAGGGAAAAAAAGGAAAGAAGTCAAGCAGGCATGGTGGCTCCTGTCTGTAATCCCAACATTCATGAGGCAGAAAGACTGCCATGAATTCAAGGCCAGGCATGAGCTACACATAGTACATTGAAGTGTAGCCTGAACTAAGTAAGACCTGGTCTTTTAATGGCATGGGGGTAGGGAGTGGAGAGGGAGGAAGAAGCCAGAACAGGTAGGCTACATTGTATAGAATGTAGAAAATAAGGTGTTTTGTTTGGGAATTACTTAGCATACTATAAATTATCTGTAAACCATCAGTGGACATAGATAGATGGACCACCACAGAAGGTCTGTCTGGATTTCAGGAAGTTTAATAGACTGTTGGTACCCAGTAAATATGGCATAGTATAATATTTGACATACTTTAATAGAAAACTATGGTAGGTTCAAAATATTGTATAATCTTGTCATCTATTTTTAAATTGTGTAACTCACCAATAAATTCTGAGCAGGCAGTTATTAAATATAATTAAGTTGCAGGCATGCACACAACAGAACAAAGGGACATATTCTCAGCAAGTGAACAAGAGACTAGGGAGACAGCTAAAGAAATTTCGATTGGAGTTAGGGGAGGTTGCTGCATTTTAGTAACGTGTTCCTGCTTTTTAAGCATTAACTTCTAAAAGAACAATCCACACAGACAGGAGTTATACAATGCCCTTGAAAACAGAAATGAAGGTTGCCCATCTATGGTTGCTTTCTTTGATCAAAGTCTACATGTTTTAAGTGAGACTTCATGTTCCTACTACACATACTCTCATTATAGATGGATTCATGGCTTAGACCCTCTATCTGTAGAAGAACTCTTCGGCCCAGGAGACAGCAAAAAATGCACAGAACACAGTTGTGTTGCGGGATTACCAAAGCAGTCAAGTCCTCCTCCCTTTAGTCTCTTATTATTCTTTTGCAGTCAGATAACCAGCAGTCCCCCGTGTTTTTGTAGAGCTTTGTTCTTTACAGCACCTCTGGCCTGATCTCATTTGATTTGAAAAACCCCCATTAGTCTGCTTGAGTTGTCATAACAAAACACCATAGACCGGGCAGCTGAGCAGAACTTGTCTCATGGTTCTGGAGGCTGAGAAGTTCAAGATCAAGGTGTTGGCCAGTTCTGTTCCTTATGAGGGCTATTCTTCTGCCTTGCTGTTGTTCTTCATATGGATTATACCAGGGTGGACATGGGCTAAAATCTCTCTGCCTCTGTGCTGGTGTCAAAAGCATTAAGCTAGTTTGAAAATAGTTCATAATATGGTTTGAATGGCCATACTGGACATGCATTATCAGCATTCATCATTATCAAATTGTTTCATTTTGTATTCTACAGAAGCTGAGCTAAGACGTATGGGGCCAGTAGATGCACAGGTGTACCTTGAAGATATGTCCTGGAACAAAGGTTGGATTTTATTTTATTTTTTGTATCCACACTGAAGAGAAATATTAGGATTTTTTTATATATAAGAAAAAAATTAGGATATTTGGAAGTCTTAAATAACAGCTTGATCTTTCTACATACATTTTTGTTAGGCCTACTTTTATCAACTTTGCTTATTGGAATATTATGTAACTCATTCCTCATTATTTTCTATTCCAATTAAGTATATAAAGGTTTCTTTTTATTTTTTTACTGCCTTGATTTTTGCATTATTATCTGTGTAATAAGGCTAAAGAAAAAGTAAAAAGACAATGATAATACTCTTCATGTTGACAATTAAAGTAAGTCCCTGTCAGGATTGCTTTTTGCCTTACATGGGATCACAGACTGATAGGACACATCTCTTAATGTCCTGGCCTTCTGCTTTGAAAGAACTTGCTGTTTTTCTTCGCCAAGGCCTCACATATAGTCTGATCTCATCTGAAAATAATAACTATGTTGGCTGAGAATGACCTCGAGCTTCTGCCCTCCTGCCTCTACGTGCTGAAAGCTGGGACGACAGGCACAAGCCATCACACACTGCCATGTGCCCCTGGGACTTCCCTAGCACTAGCTCACTTTTTGATTGTCCTTAAGAAAACTTTCTCAGTCCCCTTGTCGTCTTTCCATTTTCTTTTACTAGAATATTAAAATTAACCTATGTCATTCCACATTCTTTTGTTCTTTGAAATGGTTGTCGTTACACATTATTAAATTAGGAAAATACCACTTTCTAAATGGAAGCCTTGAGCATTATACTTCAGTACTTCTCTGGGCAAATAAAATTACTGTTTCTTAGAACTTTTTTGATATACTCTTAACTCTGTAGAATTGTTTTTCCGCTTAGGGTTCAATTCCCCTAACGGCTGATAGAAGTTTACTACTAAGTGTGGTGCTGGGATAGACACAGCCACCCTCCTTGAAACCAAGCTTCCTTTTTAGTGACAAATTATTTACTTAGAGAGCACAAGCATTACTGACTTAGGAGAGGAATCATGTCTTTGCTTATAGAATCACTCTGTGTCTCGCCATCCAAATGAAATTGTGGGGTAGACGCTCATATTTACCACGAATAACCAGAGTTCTGGAGCCTTCTGTGGCAAAGTCATTGTGGTAAGAGGAGGAACCGCTTCTGTGGAAGCAGCAGTGGCCTGCTCTTCATCGCTAGCTTCTGGAGAGACATACAGGAATGTAACATTCATTCAAGATTTGTCCAAATAAATATATTTTTAAAAAACAGACTTTGGGGGCTGGAGTATATATACTCTTGGCTTGCATTTAGATGGTTCACTGGTTAAGAACACTGTCTGCTTTTGCAGAAGACATGGGTTCAATTCCCAGCACCCACTTGGTCGCTCACAAGTGTCTATATTCCAGTTCCAGGGGATCTAGCACCCTCTTCTGGCTTCTGCAGGCACTGAACATATATGGTACACAGACTGGAAGGCAAAGCACCCACACACATTAAAACAAATATAATTTTTTAAAAAATATACTTTGACTCCTTATTAATCATTAGATGTTTAATTGCTCATTAAAAAGTTAGTCTTGATGTAGTTTATAATACTTTGCTTGCTGATGGGGTCTAAGAGCATGAAAATAGTAAAAGCCGATTTTTGTAATTTTTCCATTTATATTTGAGCATTTTTGATTATGTAGTTTTAGGATATTATTGGTTTATCCTTATCCTCCTGAGAAAAATGAGCAATATCTGAGTGAAATCTAGATTCTGACAGGAGTATTAAAAACTAATGTAGGTTTTTAACTAACTTTTTCAGATATAAAAGGCAGTATTAGCATATGAAACTAATAAAAGGTCTATCAAGAGGGCAGTTATATTGTGTGGATTCCTTCAGGGTCATTTTCATAATGGCCTTGGGTGGTGAAGATCCAAAAAAGGAGAGGTTGTGAGCATGCACATGAGAGTCATGGCCCAATAGTGCATTGTATTGTGCTAAAAACATGTCCCTGGAAAACACTGGGACATTGAAGCTAAGCTATGCCTTGGACATTTTGATGGCTACATCTAAAATGGTTTATATGAAACTACTGCTTTAAGACCTCAGTGAACATAAGAAATTTCAACAAAATATTAAGATGAAGTATCCATGACAAAACTCCAAGTTATCACTTATGAAATATATCACCTCAGATTGTTTGTGTTCACTGGGTAGTTTAAAAGTGTGTTGTGGTGACGTACTTTAAGAAATCTAATGACGTGTGTGTGTGTGTGTGTGTGTGTGTGTGTGTGTGTGTGTGTGTGTGTAATAAGATAAAAATACATACTGAGAGAGAGAGAGGGAAAGAAAAAGAAAGGAAGGAAGGAAGGAAAGAAAAAGAGAGAGAGAGGGAGGGAGGGAGGAAGGAAGGAAGGAAGGAAGGAAGGAAGGAAGGAAGGAAGGAAGGAAGGAAGGAAGGGGCAAAGCCAGGTATGATAGCTTCATTTTTTGAGACAGGGTCTCACTATGGGATCCTGGCTGTCCTGGAGCTCACTATGTACACTAGGCTGGCCTCAAACTCACTGAGACCTACCTGCCTCTGCCTTCCAAGTGCTGGAATTAAAAGCTTGGGTCTCCATACCCTGTCATCCCAACACTTGGGAAGCTAAGGAAGAATATTGCAGAGTTCAAGGCCAGTAATGACGACTCAGTAAGACCTTGTCTCAAACAAAAAAACAAAAACAAAAACAAAAAAAAAAAGGAAAGAAGAAGAAAGCAAGAGAGAGAGGGAAAGAAAAGAGAAAAGAAGGCTTGACAGATGGCTCAGAGGCCTACATGCTGGAAGGAGAGCAAACATGTGCTTTATCTTCTGACCTCTACACACATGCCATGGGCACATGCACACACAATAACAACAACAGTAATCATAATAATCAATGAAATAATTAAAAAGAAAATCAATTTTCAATTTTTAGATAATATAACTATTCACTTTGAAAACATGCTTTTAAGATATATATACACACACACATACACATATATATGCTGGCTCAAACAGAGGAAGTATTTATTTATTTATCTATTTATTTATTTCTGGTTTTCTGAGACAGGGTTTCTCTGAACAGCCGTGGCTGTCCTGGAACTCACTTTGTAGACCAAGTTGGCCTTGAACTCAGAGATCCACCTGCCTCTGCCTCCTAAGTGCTGGGATTAAAGGCATGTACCACCATGCCCAGCTGATACTTGCATTTCTAAACTTGAAATTATTTTTTATGAAGAATACCCACATTGTGATAAAAAGATATAAAGCAAGGACAGATTTATGTTTTCATTTTTGATAAGGCAGCACATAAGGTTGGCTTAACTGCCCAGTTTTTCAAGACTGCACTTTATACAGAGCAAGCACAGCGCAGCTGAATCTCATTTCGGCCTCTCCCTCCCTCCTGCAGAGTGAGTTCTAAATGTAGCGGCCTTTGAGAGTCAGCTGTAGGTCCTGTGCCCACTGGACCGTCGTCATTTGTCTCTAGGTTATGAGTGCAGTCCAATCGATTATGACCTGGGCAGTCCAATAACTGTGATGCTTCTGTAAACTAAAAGTGCCGTGGGGTCAGAGGTTTTCATTCAAAGGACAGGAGCACCTAGACTTCCTCTCTCCACCATTGCTAGCAGGTTTGCCGGTACATGTCCACAGTCTTGGCACCCAGAGGCTGAGTCAGGATCACCAGAGTTAAAGACCACCTTATGCTACATAATACAACTCTGGCTTTATAAAAAAATTGAAGGAGATGGCAAAATGGCTCAATGAATAAAGACACTTGTGGTCAAGCCTGACAACCTGAGTTGGATTCCCAGAACCCACATGGTGGAAGGGAGAACTGGCTCCCACAAGTTGTTCTCTGACCTCCACACTCACGCCATGCCGTGTACACACACACACACACACACACACACACACACACACACACGCACACACACACACCCCTAAATGTAATACATTTTCAAAGTACAAAGTAAAATGTAAAAACCCCATCGTCAGTTGTACTTTTTGCATGTGATTTTCCTATGGTACTTACCGTAAATACAAAGCAAACAGATACATAACTCATGGGGAAAAACAAACAAAGGCAAACACTTCATATGGTGTTGTATTTGAGTCACCTGATTGTAGAATGGCGTGGACAGCTTGAGGTAAACAACTGGGGTAGCCACCTTCTCTAGGAGAGACTTAAGCAAATACCACGCTCCGTTTGTTCTCACTGTAACATCTTAAATGCATTGATGAGAATATAAAATTTGCAGAATTCTTAAGAAAACTAAAAATTTCAAATAAATTTCAAAGATTACTGTCAGCATTCTTTGCTCCATCCCCATCTGTGAATATTGAATACAGACAGTATTCAAATTAAACCAGTCCATCACCACTACCGATAGACTGGTCAGTAGGTAAGTTTGGAAATACTGTTACTATGTAAGAGAATCTTTCCAGCTCTCTTTTAAGTTCATTTTTATCTGTACCTGGCTTCTTTGTTTCATTTTACACAGTTTCTCTGGAACATGTTCTATATTTTGAATGGTTTTAGCAAAGTAGAAGACTGTAAATATTTGAGGCATTATTTTTGTTTTCTTTGCAGATGATGAATCTTTCTCTCTGACCTGCCGATGTGGTGGAAAATACACTGTCTCTAAGGATGAAGTAGAAGAAGTGAACCTGATTTGTTGTGATACGTGTTCACTGATTGTAGAACTCCTTCATCAGCAATGAACTGTGCATTCCTGCGATCCTTTAACACTGATCCAGCATGTCCAGAGGCCACTCAGTTTCAAGGAGACAGATGCTTTCTTACTAGCTGTATAATTTACTAAGATAATATAAGATCTTCAAGCAAAGACCACTTCAGATTAACAAATTAATTCAGTTGTTTACATGTATAATTACAGGATATCACAAAAAGGACTTGGAATATACTTCTGGATTTTTACCTGACTTTTGTTTTCTCCTTGGTACAAAAATTTCTTATTTTTATATAGTTTGTAGTTTTTATTTTTTATAATTTATTCTTTATAGTTACTAAGGGTTTTGTTTTTTGTTTTAATCGTGTGTGTGTGTGTGTGTGTGTGTGTGTGTGTGTGTGTAGGGCAATAAGTGAGTCTGTGAAGAGTTGATTTTTCTCTTCTTCTCCTATGTGGGTCCTCAGGCTGTGGTAAGTGCCTTTACCTGCTGAACCATCTTGCTGTCCCCAATTATGAAGTTGTTGATATAAAAGATGATGTTTTTAGTTACTGAAGTTTTTTGCATACTGTATACCTATTTCAAATTCGCAGGCATTTAAATAAGATTAGGATTTTGTGAACAAAGTGTGAGCCCAGCTCTACCCTGAACAAGGCTGGATAGGGATCACTACAAATGTATTTCAAAGCTGGTAAAGAGGACCAAATGTCAGAAAACAGACGACAACGGACTGGAGGTGCCACACCCTACATGAGCTCTTTGTATGTAACACTGTGTTTACAGTGTGGAGATGAGTTCACTTTCCCAACACTGAGGGGCCCTTACGGAGCACCTCTGATTTCTGTGGTCTAACTCTTGGTGTTGTCAGAAGAGCGTAGACTCGGAATGTTGGTCCGACTTCTGTAAAGTCGGCTGACACATGAGGCGCACTTGAGAGCAGATTGCTTTCACTGTGCAGGCACCACCAAAGTTCAAATGTCAGGTAGTCATCAAGCTTCTCCCCCAAGATATGTTTATGTCATAAAATTTAGAAAGAAAACTTGTTTGGGATTTTTATCCAAATACTTTCAATTAATGTATTTTCCAGAATGTGATGTTTACTTTTACATTTAATTAAAAACATAAATAAAACTGAGTAGCAAATAGTTTATTGGTAAATTCATGGTTTCAACTGCAGTAATAAATTCATTGAATAGGAGACAATAATCAAGTCAAAAAATAAATGTTTGCTAATCATCAGAAAACCTGTGGCCATTTGGGCTGTCCCGCAGAAATCCAAAATCACTGAAAGGCCAAATCTGTAAAGTGAAAATACAGTTGAAGACAATTAACGAGAATTCCTTATCCTCACGACTTTCTCTTCTGTCAGATCATTGTCTGTTAGCTAATGCAGTGCTCTCTCTTCATCAGTTCTTCTGAAAATAAGCTTATGTGTTCAGCCTGGGGCGTTCAAACAGAATACCAGAGACCATGTAGGTTTAGGATATCAATGTATGTTTGTGAAGACCTGTCTTCTTTTACCATCCTAAAATAAGTCACACTACCAGTCTCTGGTACTTGATACCTTAAGTTGCTGTTTAAGTATCAAGAATCCTGAACATTACACAGTTGCCCTAAGTACTCATAAGTTTTTATTCTTATGCCTTTTGATGAAGGGGAGCAGGTGTGGTGATGCACACCTGTAATCCACACCCATGATACTGACACTTAAGAGACAGAGACAGGAGGGTGGAGAGTTTACAGCCAGCCTGGACTACAGAGTGAGACTGTCTCAAAATAAAATTATATCAACCAGTAATGGAAGAACCAATGAAGATGTCATCCAAGGCTTGTACATTCCCTACAGCCATATGCCTGCGTATGGCTTGCTGGATTTGACTGGGTCTGCCTGCATTCCAAGTAGACTGAGCCTGGGCTGCTATTGTAGAAATGCTTGCTGAAATGCCAGGGTATGATTATGGCTGTAAAAGTCACACATGACAGGTTGATTTCTATAAACTCAAAGGCTCCCTAGGCGACCGTTAGTTGAGTTTGAATTACACAAATTTCTGTTCTTCCCCATAGGAGCAGGAAAGGGAGAGGATAATATTTTGTCTATAGCTCTTAAGTAAAGGTAAAATGTTCATCAAATGTAGTCACTGCACCAGTTAAGTCAACTTGAGAGAAGCACCCCCCAACTAGAGTAACGCTGGCATTTTAGGCACTGAAGCATACCTTAAAGAAGATCCGCCCTCGTATTAGTCCATAGGGAACAGGTCCGTAGTACCTGGAGTCTGTCGAATTCTCTAAGTTGTCACCTTCTAACCAAACATGACCTGTTGGCACCTGGGATCAGTAAAGACAAGCGAGTCCTTTAAAAACAAGAAAATCTCAACAGAGGACTGTCACTAAAAATACGTCCTTAAAGCCCCAGCACTGTGGTGTACACCTAGAATCCCCACACTCAGGAGACTGAGGCAGGAGATCATAAATGCAAAGCTAGCCTGGGCTACACAACCAGTATGTGAAAGAAAGAGTTCATTTGGAAGTAGAGCATATGCCTTAAAATCTTCCTTTATACGTGTCACAAGAATTGCTATTTTTGTTTTCATTTCTTACTAACTAAATATCAAAGGTTTCCACACTTTTTAAAGATCCCTTTATTATATGGTTCCCAAACATTAATTTGTAGAAACCCCAAACTAAGGCTGTAAGAAATCCAAACAGTGTGGCAGTGTCATTAATTTAATAGACTTCAAAAGAGGTCATTAGGCTGCTGACTGAAAATGTGCCCTCCTGTTGTAATAACAGCATAAGCAGGGCAGCCAGTCAGCAACATCCTGGGGCCAGTTCCAAGGCCAGACCTATTAGAACGCTCATGATGAACTAAGTGGTAATGGATTGTGACATCAATTACGGATAATCTCATCATTTTACTGCAGTGGGCTTGTCAGAGTTCTAATTAAGACCCCTGTCCTGCCTTTGTACAGGCCATATCGTCACTGCCTTATATGTTGATAATGACCATCAAGAACCAGGAGGACCTATTATAAAACCACAGTTGCAAATTAATGACAGTGACCTTCTACTAGATGAAAAGATAACTCCTGTGTATTAACTGGTAAAAAGTTTAAAGTGTTTACTCAATTATGATCCTTTTAAGGTGGTGATACTTTTCAAAAATGCATTCCTCCTATATGAGACATTTCCCCACTAACATTCATTTAATATAAACAGAAGGTGCTTTGTGGCAGTAGTCTGTACACCACCCTTTAGTGTTTTTATTTTACAGTTTTTGTTATGTAAGAAAAGTTGATTCACTGACCAGATCAAAACAATCTATTGGGAAGATTGCATTATTTTTGGTACAGCTTAATAGGACACACTATAGTTCGATTGTATATTCTTACAAGCATTTAAATTTTAAGTTTATTTTTGTAAGATTATATTTCTGGGATATTTGAAATGATAAGAGGAACGAGTTTCAGGTCCTAGAGCTGACAACACGTCCAGTGCCTACCTACACCACGAACTGGCTGCCAGGCAGGGACAGGTAAGATGGTTGGGTAGAAAAGCAAGTGTATCTTAAGTCATGGGCAACAGGAACACTGCAGCTGGAAAAGCCAAGTCTACCTATCACATTCTCAAGTTTTACTTTCGGAGAAGATGCAAGAGAAAGAGCTCTTGTATTTAGATTTCTAGTTTCTCAAAATTTGTTCCTGAACCCTAAAAAACAGGTGCTATATATGAATGAATGAATAAGGGACACCAGTAAGAACAAAAGGAAGATGCTTTACAAATAGGGTAATATACTAACAGTCTCGGCAGATCTCTACCCAGCTAAGGACCCATGGCATTTACATCCCACCTTCTATGTGGCTTCCCTGTTTGCATGCCTATCCCAAATGCTATGGTTTTTAGGACATGTGTTATATAATACCAATCTTGCTAGGAGTACTGGATTAAAACAACATCCTTCTTTCCTGTCTTTTTTTGTTTGTTGAGACATTGTAGCCTGGCCTCAAACTACAGCCAAGAGGATAGCCTTGAACTCCTGATTTTCCTATTTTCACCTTGAGTTCTGGGATTATAGGCATATGTCACCATGCCTGATTTTCTGTGGTGCTGGGGACTGAACCCAGGGACTACTGCATTCTAGGAAATCATTCTACCAACTGCGCTACCTCCCAAGACTGCTTTTATCTATCTCTTCTCACTGTTTTATGATAAGCAGTTATTAATACTAGAATTTTAATTTTGTTATTATTTTATATTATCAGTGTCATTAAACTTTTGCCAACCCAGTGGTAAGAAATAGTACCTCTGTATCTTTATTTGCTTTTGTCTTAATTTAAAAAATTGAGTTACATTGTGTGTGTGTGTGTGTGTGTGTGTGTGTGTGTGTGTGCGCGCGCGCGCCAAGGAGTGCCTATGGAGGTTAAAAGACAACTTGAAAGACTCAGTGCTCTTTTTCCACCTTATGGATTACAAGAATCGAGCTCAGGTCATTGCATCAGGCTGGAGGCAGATACCTTTACCTGCTGAGCATCTCCCTTTTTTGAGTGAGGCCAAATCTCTTTTTTTGTATTTAGAAGACCATGTAAGGTCTAGGGATATAGCTTAATGGCAAAGTACTGCCAAGCATATATAGACACTGCATTCATTCCCCACCCCCCACCCCCCAAACAAACAAATACAAAACCTGCTTTGCTATGTCATTGATACTACTATAGTGTTCCACTGGTGCTTCCCACTACATTGCTTTGGTTTACTGGCAGAAGAAGTCTATACATTTGTTTCCTGATTGTATTTCATTCAGGTCAGCAGTGTTTGCACCTGCTTTGCATACAATGGTCTTCATGATCTTGGCTTTCCTGTTGACCTCCAAGTGGTTCTAATGTGATTTGTGACTTAGTTAGACCACCTCTGTTGAGTGGATTTGCTGCCAGTCTTTAGAGAGTGCCATGGTGAAGGGGTTACGGCAGCTACAGACCAGCTTATTCATGTCAAGTCTTATTTTCAAGCTGCTGGGAGGAGTTCCTTCCCATTGTACTACTAAGGCACTATCTTTCCAGGTCTCTACTGGATGACGACTTGTCCACACTGGCTTAGGAAGCACAAATGTCTTTTGGTTTTGTGTGAGTTCTAGGAATTGACCCTTATAGCTCCCTAGTTAGTCACCTTTGCTTTATTATTAAGCTTCACCAGAAATAGGCACAATTTAGTATTTAGCTGTCAACTAAGGGACTATGAATGTAGCTCTCTGGAGATCTTTT